TTTTTATGGTGTCACACATTTCCTGCATATTCCATTCCTGTGTTTTCTTAAATTTTTCATAATCTTTGCTTGAGTGGTCTAGTTCATCCACTTTATCTTCCACTTCTATTTTCCATTTCATTCATTCTATTGGTGAGGATTTCTCCTGTCATTTCTAATTGGCTTACTGAGTGTTTCACTTCCTTCTTCATTTCAGCCTGAGTATTCTTCAATATTTCTAATTCTTTTCTGAATTCACTCAGAAGTTTATCCTTACCTCTTTCAGTTCTTTGATTTCTTTGTGTGTTCTTTAATTCATTGGATTCTTTCATCATGTTTATAATTCTTGTTTTGAATTCCATGTCCTGTGTTATCTCTGGGGCTTCTCATTGTACTCCTCTACAGGGCTGTTGGTACTTGGTGGGGACATATTATTTGGGTTTTTAATGTTATTATTTTTTCACTGTGAGTTTGGCATGTAGATTTCTTTTGCAATTTCTGTCTCTTGACACTCAAGCCTTCCTTTGTTGAGTTTAGGTCTGTTTCTGTTTGTATACTTTATGTGCCTTTGTTGTTTACTTGTTGGGTATGAAAAGCTGGTTGGCCTAGGCTTCAGGTTCTCTCTTTTGATTTTATATTGGAGGGGCCAGATGGCTTAGTCCTGCTGCTCAGGAGTTCCCACAGAGGCCCAAGTCCTGTGAGAATCAGATGTGCTCAGGCTTCCTCCTAAGGTCTAGATCCCTCTAGTCAGCAGGCACAGTACAATTGGGAGGCTTGTTAGGTAGAGGTAGGATTCAGGATTCTCAAGCAGTCAGAGAATGAGGCTGGTCTCAGGAATCCAGGGCAAGCAGGGAAGGAGTCTGGTCTCAGGAATCTCAGGTGGTTTGGGGCTGGGGACAGCCAGGGATGAAGGCTGGTCTTGGGTATGCAAAGGTAAGTTGGGGGTGGGAGCAGGCTGTGAGGATTCTAGGGAACTAGACTGAAGAATTGGGTTGGTCTGAGCGCAAAGAATCAGGAAGCAGTGGGGAATCTGGGCCAAGTGGGTAGTTCAGAGGTCTGGGGTACCAAGAGAAGTGGGCCAGTTCCCACACTAGAAGGAGAAATAGGATTTGGAAGCTGGGAGGTTGAATTGGGTTGTGGGGGTCAAGGCACAGTGGGTGGGGTCAAACTTACCAGGGAAGGATGCTGGCCTCAGGAATCCCAGGCAGGTTGAGGGTGGGACCGCCAGGGATGAAGGCTGGTCTCAGGTGTGCAATGGTGAGGTAGGGGATGGGACAGGCTTTGAGAGTTCTGGGGGACTAGACTGAAGAATTGGGTTGGTCTGGGTACAAAGGGTCTGGAAGCAGTGGGGAATCTGGGCCAAGAGGGTAGCCCAGAGTTCTGGGGTGCTAAGAGAAGAGATGCACCAGTGCCCATGCTAGAATGAGAAAGGGATGTTGGTATGGTAGTTAATCTTGACTATCAATTTGACTGGATTTAGAAACAGCATGGAAACATACCTCTGTCTTAAGGGAGTTTCTAGATTAGGTTAACTGAGGTAGGAAGTGCCCTACTAACTGTGGATGATAAAATCCTATGAGCTAGGGTTGTGGGTTAAATAAAAAGGAGAAAGTGAGCTGAACAGCAGTATTTATCACTCTTTACTTCCTGACTGTGAATGCAGTGTGACCAGGTGCCTTGAGCTCTTGCTGCCATGACTTCCTTATCATGGTGGACTGTACCTTTATACTGGGAGCCGAAGAAACCCTTTCTCCCTTAAGTTGCTTTAGACAGGCATTTTGTCCCAGCAATGAGGAGAGAGAGAGAGAGAGAGAGAGAGAGAGAGAGAGAGAGAGGGAGGAGAGAGAAGAGAGAGAGAAGGCAGGAGAAACTGGTAGATTATTTTTAATTGAGGTTTAATTTATATAACATAAACTGTTATTTTAACCTTTTTAAAGTATAATGAGTATTTTCTTGTTCAAATTCTCAACGTTATACAAACAGTACTAATTCTAGAACTTTATTTTTGTAGGACGAAGATGACCCTAAGACCCCATGCATGTTAGCTGCCACTGAACCACACCCATAGCTTCCAGAGCATTTTTATACTGCAGAGGAGATGCTGAACTGTGTCCCATTCCCAGCATCTGGCAATCACTTCTCCACTTAATATCTTTCTTTTTCTCCTCTTCTGTCATTTTGTGTGTATTGGTCTGCTTAATGGTATCCTATAAATCTTAGGCCCTGTTCGTTTTTTCTCACATTTTAATTTCTCTATGTGTGCCTTGGCAACTAATTTCAATTGATTTATCTTCAGATTCACTTATCTTTATTCTTCCCATTCAAATCTTCTTTTGAACTCCTCTAGTCAAAATTTCGTATCAGTTATCCCACTTCTCGATCCCAGAACTTCTATTAGATTCTTCTTAATAATTTAACACTGCTCTTCTCCGTCTGGTGGATAGCGGCCTCCTAGTTTCTGTTTTGGTTATTATTTATCTCCTTTAGCATTACTAAAGAGCAGACATTTCAGCTTTCTCTGACATAATAGTCTCAGCCTTCTGCTTCAAGGTAGCAACATGCACATCTTGGCAATGTGGACAAGAAAGTCTACATGGACAAATTAGGGGCTTCATGACCTTTGCTTATATGTACAGAATGTACTGTGATCGTAGTCATCGCCTACTTCCCTACATTCCTGTTAGAGGGAGAATAGGAATTGAGATGTATACTTTATGAAATTATCAAGAATACCGAATGTGGGGCTGGAGAAGTGGCTCAGTGTTTAAGAGTATTGCTTTTACTGAGGACTCAGGTTCAGTTTCTTGCACCCACACTGGGTGGCTCACAATCACCTTCTTCTAGATTCCAAGATTGCCCACCATCACACATGCTCATACCCACACATACATAAATTATTTTTTAAATTATTAAAATAACAAAAAATCTTTTTTAAAAGACTATTAAGTAGGCCGGGCGTGGTGGCACAGGCCTTTAATCCCAGCACTCAGGAGGCAGAGGCAGGCAGATCTTTGTGAGTTCAAGGCCAGCCTGGTCTACATAGTGAGTTCCAGGACAGCTGGGGCTACAGGGAGACCCTGTCTCAAAAAGACCAAAGGAAAAAAAAAGAATATTAAGTAAAGTAATATGTGAGAAGGCCTAATGCATTTTGGGTGATTTTTTTTTTTAAGGAGTGAAATTTGAGTCAGAGTATGCAGCCCAGGTTGGCCTCAAATTTATGATTCTCCTCAGCTTCCCAAATGTTGGTATTATAGGTATTCACCACTGCACCAGTTGGGGTGATTGGTGTTTTTTAAAAGCCTTCATAATTGCTATTGAGCCAACATTTGATTCAAAGTCATTGAGATTTCAGTTTGTAATATGTCTCCTCAAAGCAAGATATAACTTCTTACTCCAGAAGCAAGAATTCCTGTAACTTCTCCTGCTAGGCAAAAGTCATAAATTCACAGTGTAGCCTGGTATAATAATAAAGGCTTAAGAAGTAGCAAACAGGGCTGGAGAGAAGGCTCAGTGGTTAAGAGCCCTGGCTGCTCTTGCAGAGGACCTTGGTTCAATTCCCAGCACCTACATGGCAGCTAATAACTGTCCTTAACTCTGGTTCCAGGGGATCCAACACTCTCTTCTGACCTCCATAGGCATTGCATGACATAGGTGCACTTACATACATGCAGGCAATACACTCATACACATAAAACAAAATTTTTTATAAAATAGTGAATAGTAGCAGCATAGACAGTGTCCTGAACAGGAGTCCTACCAGAGATGTTCACACTCAACATACTGTGGAGGCTAAATAATGCTCATCCCCACACTTACTGTGGTCCACACCTGGGGACTATAGAGATTTGAGATTCTACCTGCTTCTTGCTTATTGTGTTATTTTGGAAAAGCCTCTTGGTCTCCTGGTACCACGAAGGGAAACTAAACAGCAACCTGTATTTCACAGAAGGACAGGCTGAAGAAAGTGTGTCAGGTTCAAGCAATTCCTGGAGTTGGCCCTTTATGGAGCATGAAACATTTCTACTCATATGATTAACAGGTGGAAAGAGCTGTGGCAGGATAACAAGGCAGGAGATTCTGTGCACCTGGGGAGTCTCCTTTAGCCAGACTGAAGTGTGCAGTGACACTGTTTGTCCACTCTGAGCCATTACAGTAGGCGCACAGGTATGTCAGTATGCTTCTGAAGACGATGATCAGTGACACTGTTTGTCCACTCTGAGCCATTACAGTAGGCGCACAGGTATGTTGAGAGATGGGAACAGGATTGTGGGGAGGGCTTAGGCCACATTCAGCAGGGGATGGCAGAACAGGCTTGAAAAGTCTCTTCCCCATGGTCACTCCCAGGTATTTCTCCAAAGGCTCTAAATTACTTTTCTAGGCCAAAAGCTGGAAATCCCCAAATCTCCCTGATCCAAAGAAACAGCTCATTGTCTCATAGTTGGAATCACTGCTCATGTTTATTGGAAAAGCAGAACATAGCACATCTGTAGGGACCCAGCTTCCACAGTTCTCCAAGTCCTGGCTCTCAGCCACCTCGAGGCTTGCCATTCCCTTGAGTGGGAACAAAATTGCTTTAATGAGACATCCCCATGTAGAATAAACAAGAAGACACACCCATTGTAGCACATGGAAGAGCACAACTAAGGGGATGAGGGGCTTGTTCTCAGGATATAAGTTCTCATCCTACCCAGTCCAGGACTCATGTAAGGTCCTTCTCCTTAAACTGGCTGCCAGAGCAAGAGGCACCTGGGCTTCCTAAAAGCAGAAGGGTAGCAATGTGACACTAAGGGTCATTTCTGACTTAGGTGTCAGTATTATCAGCCTCATGTGTCTAGGGTGGGCCCAGGGTGACCTGTTGTAGAACTAAAGATTTCTTTCTACTGGTAGGACAGCTCATCAGAAGAGAATGAAGAGACACTCAACTGGCCTCCTCCTCCTCCTCCTCTTCCTCCTCCTCCTCTTCCTCCTCTTCCTCCTCTCCCTCATCTTCCCTCCTCCTCCCTCCTCTTCCTCTTCTCCTTTTTTTTTGGAGACAGGGTCTCCCTGTAGCCCTGGAACTTGCTATGTACACCAGGCTGGCCTTGAACTCTACCTGCCTCTGCCTCCCAAGTGCTGGGATTAAAGGCATGCACCACCATGCCTGACTCAACTGGCTTAATAACACAGCTGGTACTTGATCATATATACCAATGAGGAGGATATAGTAGGTTCTGTTCTCCTTTTTTTTTGGAGACAGGGTCTCCCTGTAGCCCTGGAACTTGCTATGTACACCAGGCTGGCCTTGAACTCTACCTGCCTCTGCCTCCCAAGTGCTGGGATTAAAGGCATGCACCACCATGCCTGACTCAACTGGCTTAATAACACAGCTGGTACTTGATCATATATACCAATGAGGAGGATATAGTAGGTTCTGTTTTAACTGCCTTAAAAGTTTTCTTCCCAAAGAAAAAATTTTGTTTAAGGAATTGATTAAAGGAAAGTGCACTGTTGTGCAAAAATTTCTATCAGACTATATTGTGGGGGGCAAGTGAATTGAGAGATAGGAACCCAGGCAGCGAGAATGTTTGTGTATGTTGGGGAGGGAGTGTGTTTACACAGAAGCTGGGGTTGGAATGCCTGGAAAAAGTCTTTTAGGAGCCTGAATGGGAATGAGGTAAATTCACCATATCCCAAGATCTTGCTGCAGAACAGACATTCACAGTGAGTTGGGGTTACTAACCTTGAATTCAGAGACATGGCAAGCAGTGACGGAGCAAAAGCAGAAGTTAGAATTTAGCAGTGGCTGAGCTACATTCCAATTTGGAAACACAAGTTAATGAAGCATGTGTGCCACAAAAGCAATTACTCTCTAGATTAAAACAACCTGTAAGCTTCATGCCAGCTGTAGAGGGCTGGGGCTGGAAAACAGATATAATTCATCTTGCTTAATTACCTCCACTCCCCACTCAATTCCGTACCTACAATGAGCTCATTAAGTCTTAACATGACTTGGCTGTGAGGGGAATGCTGACTGGAGTGGGGGTGCTCTGCACATTTGCATGTAGGCACCCTGCTTCTAAAGCAGGCAGAACATTCCAGAAGTAGTTTTACTTCCTCTTTATAATGCATGTTTGTCCTGGCTGTTTGCTCAGACCCACATTGATTCTCTTCTGAAATAAAAGCACAGTCCTTTGCTATCTTCTTGTACACTGCGGTTCTGAAATAGTCCCTCCTCAATGATGGCACTCTCCAGGCTGCCCCCAGATGCTGAGGGCCAGACCCTAAATGGTGCAGAGCTCCGGTATTCTACTGCTTTTGGCTTGCAGGCGCTGTGTGTGACAGTAGGGCAGAAAGGGAATGGCACCTAGGGACTGAAGCCAAGAGGCCAGCGAGGCCAGCACTCAATGGGAGAGTTAAGACTTTCCATTTTATCCAGTTAGATTCTAACAAATGCGTAGGTGTCTCTTACAAGGTTTGAAATAAGTGCATGTAGAGAAAGAGCCTTAATTCTCAGTCCAGCTGGGGCAGACAAGGGGGCTTGCAGTCACCTGCACCTGCTACCCATGCAGGTAGGGGCGCGTGCGGGCTCCTGGCCCAGAGCATTGATGTGCTGTGGAGCACCGGCACCCGCCAATTTCTCCGTGAGTTTTTGGTTTACCAGCTCCAGGTGGCGGCTGTTCTTCCGTGCCTGCCTCAGAGATCTCTTGACCTTCTTCACCCGCTCTCGGAGCTGCTTGTTTCGCTTCTCTAGGGTGGCCACCTTCTGCTGTAGTTTCTTGACATGGTCCTCCTCCTCAAACAGCGCCTTCTGCACCGAGGAGCACATGAGCTGGGGACAGAAACACAGTAGAACGGAGAAGCAGGTGAGTCTCAAAGCTTTTCTGCGTGTTGGCCGGGTCTCGAGCTTCCCTGGTGCTTTCAGCTCACGCACCCAAACCTCCCCAATAACCCCCAGACCATGCCCTTGACCATGACCTTGTCCCTCCACCCAGAAATCCTGCCTGCCAGTACATACAGGACTCCCACTTCTGCTTTTATGTACTGTGGAGGATTTGTTTTAGAAAGATATTCTAAGCATTTGTCACTTAGGGCAAGAAAGAATGAACTCCTATAGGACTCAGTAAATAGAGGACCAAACCCCTAAATGGAAAGATGCACAAAGGGTACTGGCTGGTTCACAGGGAGAGAAACAACTGACTTTAAACGTATGGATGCTTAATGCCATTCATGAAGATAAAAGCAATTTAAAGACATGGCAAGTTATTCTTTTCTACAGATTGGTGGGGTTTTCTCGGGGGGCGGTGAACCTAGGGCCTCACGTATACTAGTCAAGTGTTCTACCTCTAAGTTGTACCCCCAGCCTTCTTTCCACATATTGGACTGGCAAAATCAAAGTCAGAATTTGGGGAAACAAGACTCTTTTGTGCAACATGTAGACCTTAATAAAGAGCAATTTGACTCTGTCAAAATAAAAAGTGTATGTACTTTCTGGTCTAGTAATTTTGAGTCTGTCTCATGGAAATACATGTGCAAACTGCCACACAAACATTATAGCACTGTTGGTTATTTAATTCCTTTTGTGTGTGTGACTGTGTGTGTGTGTGTGTGTTGATTAAACACAATGGCCTCAGAGTGTGCTAAACATGTACTCAATCACTGAACTGCAACCTATTATTATTTAAAAAGAGTAAGGCATGGTGGTGCATGCCTGGAATCCCAACACTTACAAAAGTGAGACTGGAGGATCTGCCATAAATTTGGTGACTGGTTGGGCTATATAGCAAGACCTTGTCTCAATAAAATAAAATAATTAAAAAGAAAGAAAAAAAAGAAAGCATCTTTGAAATGTTCATTAAAAGAGATTTGATTCAAGCATGGGTTATGAAGAGTGAGTTGAAACTACTTCTGGAATGTTCTGCCACTTTTGTCCACATCTTTAGAAGCAGGGTGTCTACATGCAAATGCTCAGCACATGCTCACTCTAATCACTATTCCCCTCACAGCCAAGGCATATTAAAGCTTAATAAGCTCTTTGCAGGTGAGGGAATTGAGTGGGGAGTGGAGGGGAAAAGCCAGACCAGGTTGGAACTGGTACGCCTCGTGGTCTTTGAAGAACCAAAGAGAAGAGTCTTGGCGGGCAGACCAGAAGCCAGATTCCCTACACCTGGATCACCCTGTGGCACCCGAGCACTTTCTTTAGGGGAGGCTTGGGAAATTATTCCAGCCAGATACTTAAGCACCCACTTCTCCTGCTGGTAGTGCAGCTTAGTGATAGGCATTGCCTAGCAAACACAAGACCCTGGGTTGTATTTTCAGCACCATGAAGAAAAACAAAATCGTTATACAATAGAAAAGTTTGTATCTTGTGTCTTTAGGGAATAAGACAGCTCCATATGAAAGTCACCACAACAGGGTCTAAATTATGGTGTTGGGGCTGGAGATATGGCTCAGTGGTTAAGAACACTGGTTGTTCTTGTAGAAGACCTGGGTTTGAATCCCAGCACCCACATGGCAGCCAACAACTGTCCGTAACTCCAGTCCCAGGGGATCCAGCAGCCTCTTCTGTTCTCTGTGGGCATTGCATGACACTGGTGCACTTACCTACATGAAGGCAATACATGCATACACATAAAATATAAATAATAAATAAAAATTTTAAAGAAATTTAAATTGGCTGTTAATATAGAAATCAGAGCATAGAACAGTGTGATAACCAGGAATGCAAAATCTGATATTTGTATGTACCTATACTTAAAAAGGTATATACTGTCACTGAAGGAAAATGCAAGAAACTGGTGACGATGGGAGCAGAGAGAAAAAACATGTGGGATTTAGTTTTTCTTTCTGCATACTTTGTGAATTTGCACTATAAAGTAGATTACATTTAGGTACCAGTGATACTACTCCTTGGCATATACCCAAAGGACTCATCCTACTGTAGAGATACCTGTACACATTTGTTGCTGCTCTCTTCACAATAGCTAAGAAATGGAAACAACCTAAATGTCCCTCGACTGATGAATAGTTAATAAAAATGTGGTACACCTACTCAATGGAGTTCTACTCAGCAGTAAGAGAAGATGAAATTATGAAATTTGCAGGTAAATGGATGGAGCTAAAGAGTTCTACTAAGTGAAGTAACAAACACAGAAAAGCAAGTGACGTGTGTTCTCCCTCCTTTGTGGATTGTAGCACCAATCCCTTATATGTGAGTATACAAATTCAGATATAACACCAGGAGCCAGGGAAAGGGAAAAAAACAACCTGAAAGGGGGGATAATAGGGAACAGACGTTACCTGAGGGAGGTGGGAAAAGTGGGAGTAAGTAGCAGGGAGGGAGGAAGGAAGGACATAGGACCATGGTGTGGGGGAGAGAAAGAGGTCAGGAGATGAGAGATGGTGGGTGTCGGGAGGCATCATGGGGAGGATGGGGATAATGGGGGCACTGTGACTAGGAAGGGAGGGAGGAGGGAAGCAAGATGGGAGATAAAAGAGTGGAGTGAGAAATGTACATACACTGTCTGAACATTAATGCATATGTAGACCTGGGAGCTGCTTGGCAGGGAATGCAGTGCCAGATAGAAGAGACCTCCCTTAGAGTAACAAGCACGCTCTACAGCACTCATCAGAAAAGCTTATTTTTGCAACAGATGAAGGCTGCCTTTTAGGTACAGAGAACATATGTTTGGGAGATGCTCAGTACTGGGTGACACATCTGCAGTTGAATCTCTACAACTAAGCCTCATGGAACATAGCAGAATAAGGGGTAGAGAGAGGGCTAATGCACCCCTCAACTCTCACCAGTGAGGCTTCCATGTACATCAGAGTGCAATGCACACAGAAGGCCATAACTGGCCAAGTTTGGGAGAATAAGAGACTGTAGAGTGTAGGATGGGACTCCTGTGTGGAAACTCACCCACTCACAGCTCAGGAAGCATTGTGGAAGAGGGGGCAGAAAGATTGTAAGAGCCAGGGCTGGTTCATGAACACAGGGAGGTGGAGGCTTGCTCATGGGAGCTTGTAGCAGTGGTGGTGTAGAGAGTGGGACCCATGTCAGCTCAATTATACAAGGGCCCAAAGGGGAGGTGAGAAATAGGTTGCGGGCCAGCTCTAGATTGAGAACTATTTGAGACTGATTGCTGTTGGGTGAGGGAGAGTATGACTTACATATGACCACTGGATGGGCTGACTAGAATCAAATGGACACATTTACACTGAAGGAAATTTGGGTACAAAGACCTCAATGAATAGGACTCAGCATGTATGGCAGATTGCATAGGGTTCAGTGGGGGATGGGGGAGGCATGGATAGGGGAGGGGGCCTGGATTTGAGTGGGAAATGTATGAAATTTTAAAAGATAAATAAATAAATAAATAAATAAATAAAAGAGGTCTTTTCTGGTCTTTTCATCATGAAGCTTTCTGTCCAACCTGTTCTCCATCATCAAGAGCTGTGCTCCCCCCAAAAGGCTTGAGTCTCCCTGTCCTTTGCTTAGAAATACAGAGTCCTCCATGCCTGCAGATTCTGTGTCTGTAGGGAATATCTGTGTCTCTTGGTGTTCAATGTGGCCTCATAGCTAAGACAAGCTCTTTCTACCCACTCTCTCCTTATAATATGGTCTTTCTATACATTATAGTAGACTCTTCAAGAACAGGATAAAAGAGGTTAAGCAAAGCCTACCAAAACAAGAAAGCCAAGTTCTTACACGGTTGTTAGCACAGAATCTATTAGTATGTGCTGGAATATCACATCAAAGAGGAGTTGAAGGGATGGTGGGGTTTGAGCAATCACTCATGAGCAGAACTCTTCCCAGGACACCAATGCTCCAGGTAGGTATCCCTCTGCCCACAGGGCAAGGCACTCCCTATTCTAAGGAACCCAGGGCAAGAGGAGGGGCTACCTCTCCAGCAAGAGGAACACAGCCAGCCAATAACAACTTGATAATGACCCAAAGAGGCCAAAACAGGACATAGAGACACCTTGCTGTATTGGGAGGGGGGGGGTTGTGAAACGAAGCTGGAAATGAAAGCAAGGTTGAATATGGAGGGAATGGATGGGAGAACTGAGTTCCTTAGTGAATATGTCATCCTGTGCTCCTCACAGCCTCTCCTTCACATGCGCAGGAGAAAAAGACATTAAAGGACTCCTGGAACTTGTCCAATATCACCCATAGCAAAGTCAGAATCCAAGACTCCTATCACACACACAGGTGTCTTGTCTCTTCAGCAAAGAGGCTGTGTACACTGGGACCACACCATGTAGTAATGAAGCTGCTGCTGTTAATCTGAAGTGTGCCTCCTACATCCTGGACATCACCCGAAACAAAATGATGCTGTTTTTCTTCATTAAAAAGGCAAGAATTTCTAGAGGAAAACTATGCTTTTCAAATACAGGTCTTTTTAAGAAACTCATGAGTCTGGAATGTTGTCCAAGTGAAATCAATCTCTTTGAAAAATTGCTAATAAAGAAAACAAAAGATCAAGACATGCTATTTGCTTTGAGATATTTTTTAGTAAGTGGAGCTGAGGAGGAGGAAGGTCAGACCAGGATGGAACAGGTACTGCCACATGGTCTTTGAAGAACTAAAGAGAACAGTTTTGGAGGGCAGTCCTGAAGCCACAGATTCCACATACCCAGGTCTTCCTTTCCACGCCCAGCACTTTCCCAAGGCTAAGCTAGGAAATTACTCTAGCCAAATGCTTTTAAGCACCTGTACTTCTCCCGTGACAGAGTTTTATCTGAGTTTCCATGTGGCTGGGAGGATGCCTGTTTCAAGTCAGATTGGCAAACTGCCATGAGGTGGAGCCTGAACTTTTTTTTTTTTTTTAA